TCATCCTACATATGACACTATAAAGTTCAGCTCATCTGAAAACTAAAATTTGTTTCCAATCAACATAAATTAATCACATTTGCTAATATTTAATTGAAATAAAGTTCAGTGGAAAAGTTTTTTTACAAGGTGACAGTAGTGGGAAAAAGGTGATTACAAATATTGCAATAAATATCAAAACTATTCTTGTTTGCAAACTTTATTCTCTCACAAGTTCAGTTATACTCAGTATTTTACTAAATACTGTAAAATACTTTATTTTCACTTGCAATTTATTTTTGTTGGAGGAATGATTAAGTGAAAATATAATCTATCGAATCAACTTTTTTTCTATATTTTACATTCAACTTGTCAAAAATCAGTGAAAATAAATTCTATACAAAACACCCAAAATGTCTTTTCAGCGAAAATTAATTCCAGCTAAAATAAAGTATTTTACAAAATAGTTGACGTTTTGAAGAATATGATAAGAGGAAATCTAAACTTATTGCTTCTTATTTTTAACCTTCTTTTTTCTCATAAACTGGCCCAGCAAGTATAAACTATCAAAAACACAAAAAAAAAATAATTTGAAGAAATATTTCACTTGCTAAGATCTCTCCTGTGGCAATTCTCTTTTCCATAAAAAAAACGTTTTCTCGTTTAGAATAGTTCCATTAGTCCAAAAAGCCATGCTGGTCTTCACTTCTTTCTGTTTTAAATATGTTTTGGCTTTTTATATTTCACATTTAAATATTGAAATCACATTTGTTGTCTATTTACTAGTTGTTGGCAAGATGAGCTAAGATGAGATCGATGAGTTGCTAACAAGTGGTTGGTCACAACACTGTTCATAATAATAATAATAATATTAACTCATAACATCTCCCTGAGAAGATTAAAATGGACATATAATCACAAAAAAAGAAAGAAAAAAAAAAGAAAACCTTATGACACACAAGCACATGAAAGATGATGTTTTTGCAATCTGCCCCCCCCCCCTCCCCCAGGCTTAACAATATACTGTGGAATACTTTATTTTCGCTGGAATTTATTTTCGCTGAAAAGGCTTTTTGGCCGTTTTGTATGGATTTTATTTTCACTGATTTTTGATGAGTTTAATGTGAAATATAGGGAAAAAAGTATATTCGCTGGATTTTATTTTCACGGAATCATCCGTCCAGCGAAAATAAATTCCAAGCGAAAATAAAGTATTCTACAGTAATCGTGAGCACCCACTGAAATAATCCAAGTCATATCATCTCTACTTGTAGATGATTTATGTATCTATTGTTGCAGTTCATATCTACACTTTATTTATCAACCTTGCATGTGT